TTAGTGTGTGGCTGCTGACTTAGCTCAAGAAGTGTAGAGATAAGAGCTAGGGTCTGCTTTACGGTACTGTGAACACCAGTCTTGGAAGAAGACAGCTTTTTAGGAAGAGCAAAGGCTTTTCTTGAAGGAGAAAAGCAATTTTTTAGCACAGAGAGGAGACCAGATACCCTTTTGGGTGGGGTGGGGGGAGGAAGGGGTATCTGCAGCAAGAGGCCTCGAGTAAGAGATTTTTATTTTTTGTTTTGTCCCTCAAAAGTGGTCAGTTCATTTATGCATAGGTCAAGCAGAAAAGGAGGCAATAGTTTCAACAAAGCCAAAAAAAAAGGTAGTCAATTCTTCATTCATCTGTATATTATTTGATTATTTTTGAATATGTATCATGCTGTCTTGTTTTAGTGCTTGCCTTTATAGGGTGCTGGTTTTTGTTTTCAGAACTTTTTGCTTTTTAGTTGCTGTTCTCTGCAAAATAGTAAAAGATGTAGAAACAAAGATTGTATTTTGGTGTTTTAAGAGATTGTTGTATCAAACTGGAACAATTTTGAAAGAGGATTTTTAAAAGTCTCATTTTTTTCAGGACAATTGTCTAAAAGACATTTCTTTTACTTCCAAAGTGGGTACATTTAAATGACAAATATTTGCTGTAGGTTATTATTACTAAATATTTTATCTAGAAACCATATTCTGAAAAACTGAGGTATTAAAATTGTATCTTACTTTGAAAACTAAAAACTTTGAAATCTAAAAAAACCCCAGCATTTTATAGTACATTCTTGAGTCCGTTCTCCAGACGAAACTTTCAGATGTACAGTTTTTTACATAATCTGTATTTGCTTTTAAATAAAAAGTAGTACTTCATAAAAATGCAAGTACTGCAGTTTTCCTGAATCTTCTTGAACAGTCTGATACATTTGGTTGGACTATGTATCTGAAATAAATTACTATATTCTTATGAACAAGCTTTCCTATTACAGAGAATCTACTGTGTAAACAAAAGATTTTAAGGCTGAGTGTGCAAACAGCATCTGCATTTTCTTGCCAGACTTGCTCCGATTTGATTTTCACCTGTGTTTTAAATACACAACTTCTACTGTCCATATGAAACCCTAAGATTCTGTTCATCTTTGCATTTATTTCTGAAAACAAAACATCATTTGTTACTGTAAGTGTGCTAACAGTGCTCATTTAAAAAAAAAAAGGTAAAACTTCACAGAAATGTTTTAGCCTTACACAGTATCATGTTCTTTAGTAGCCTAGAATGTTTTTTGTTCTCTTTATAAAATATTGCAATAGGATAGTCTTTTCCCTTAGCGTATTCTTTAATGACACTGCTTTGTTTTTTAATCAGCAAAGGAAAAATGGAAAGCACTTGAGCATGACTCCAGTACACAGGCTGTGAAGAAGCTTAAGACAAATCAAAAGAGATCAGAAGATTCCAAGGAAAAGGAACCTCACTACTCTGAATCTCCTACTTTAGGTGGGACTCAGAGCAAGAGCTTTCTATGCCATCCTGTAACAAAAAAGTCTGGTGTGCAGTATAAAAAAAGGAAACCCAGAATTGATCAAATCAAGTGCTTGCAAAGTTTTAGTGTGACTGTAGCTGAAAACGTGAGAAATGTATCTGCAAAATGTGATGCTGAACATTGCAGAAATGCCCTGAGCCGTTGTAATGGCTTGCTCTGTGCAACAGAAAAGAATCCATTTGTGAGATTAGAGGCCTGTAGTTACATCAATACATTCGTGAAGTCTTCAGCTAGTGGAACTACCAGCAGTTATAAATTAAGTGGATTCTTCCATGTAGCCCAGGATAAAAGGAAGCATGTTTTTCCTGGTGGTACTGTTGAACAGAGTGATATGAATTGCAGCACTAGTAGAATGCAAAATGAGAGATCACCCATAAAAGGTGGTTTATTGTTTAATAACGAAAAAACTCAAAACAAAGAAGGATTTTTTTCATGCTGTCAGAGTGAAAACAATAAGTGTTTAAAGGGAAAAAGGTGCAATATTGGTAGAAAGCCTAGAAAAAAGATGAAAATCACTGAGAAATCAGCAGTGCAGAATATTTCCACAGACATGGCTAATGAATGCAGTGAGTCTGAGTTACAAAAAGAAGCAGCAGTTGCCATGTCAAGCTCCTTTGCAGTTTTAGGACGAAAGCATAACGAAATTACTCTGTCAGCTTCATGTGATCATACCTCAAATCTTCATGTAGGAAAAAATACTCATGAAGCACAAAACACATCAGTCTGGAGAAAGAACAGTACCAAATTACTTTCATTTGAAGATGGCTTTGAGAAGACATTGAGGCTCTCTGTAACTGGAAAAGGAGAAAATTCAAACAGTGTGGCACATCATTCTGCTGCCTTGGGTAGCCTGAGAGTGCTAGCTCAGGTCCATGATGATTCCAATTGTCACAAAAGCAAGACACATGAAAAATTGAAGAAAGTTAGTAAGAAATTGCAGCAGTTTACCTGTCAAAGAACAGTACCTATGACTGGTAAAAATGTTTGGCCTTTTGAATCTTGTGCCAGGACTTCTGAGTGGGTTCATAAAAATCATGGGTCCATCTCAGAAGGAAAAAGACTTTTGAGGGCTGCCTTCGAGGAATCCTCTGATAAAAGCAGTGTTGAAGCTGTAGGAAACAGTGCTGTGACTGGGAATTTGAGACGGTTGGGTTTGCATACATCATTGGCAGAAATTAACAAAGAATCTACACATAAAATAATGGATCCAAATACTGAATGTCTGACTTCACTTGAAACACCAGAATCCTCTCCCATGGATATTTATGAGACTTCGAGAATGAGCAATGAAAATATGGAATCACCAGTTAATATGGATAGAAGTGCTGTGGCTTTTAGCCATGATGATGTGCAAGAAGTCAAAGCAACCTTGAATTTTACAACAAAACAAAAAGATAAAAATAAAGGAGCTATAACAAAAAGAAACCTGACTGTGACAGTCCAGAGTAGTACATCTACAGGTAACAAAAACAGAAGAAAGTTCAGCCATAAAGCATCAGTAGTGAACCAGACATTTTGTGATTTAAAGCCAATGAAAGTATCAAACGCTGGAAACCTGACAAAATTCAAAATTCCTTTATGCAGAAACAAACCTGAATCCAGGAAACTGGAATCTGTCCATTCATTTGAAAGAAAGACCTGTAGTCCACTAGAGCTTCTTGGCAGCACTAGTGTTTCAAGAAGGCAGAAAACAGGTGGAGAGAATTTTTTGGTAAATTCCAAGCAGCAGCCTCTTCCTGTCATGAGTGATGCTATGTCTACAGCTTCCGTAAAGAAAAAAGCAGATGAGATCAACTGTAAGGACTTTCAGCGTAATGGCTCTGAAAACCTTTCAAATGAGGTGTCTGCACTCCCTGAACATTTTTCTTTATATCCACATCCTTTTCTTGATGGACAGCTAGAGTCATCTGTGCCTGATTTCCATGGTACTGAACATGTACTAAAATCTGATTTTCCTGATCATTCTTGGAATGCAGTTGACCACCCTATTGCATTAGAAATAAATGATGATAGCAAATCAAGAGGGAATCTTTCACAACACAAAAGTCAAAATGTTCCAGATGTTCTTGAAGCTTACAAAGAAGATGCTCTTGTCATTGATGTGATTCAGGATGACCCTGACCTTTTTGGAACCAATAATGAAGAGGAGCTTGCACTTGCAGACTGTGAAAGTTGTCCTGTGAAGGCATCCTATACTAACATCTGCATTAAAGACAGAAAGCAGGATCTTAAGCCTGAGTATCCTGTTATCTCAGAAAAGAGAGATTCAGTAGGTGATAATTTTAGGTATGCATATTATTATTTTTATTACAGTAATCCTAAGTAGTTTGTTCTCATATCAGTATACTTTGGTTGTAGTGGTCAGGCTTCCTTACAGAATTTCAGTAATTTCTGGGTTGATTTTAAGTGTCAAAATTTGATTGAGGTATGACAGTATTCTGAATGCAAATACATTAATTTGTTCTTCGTAAGAACTAGGATAAATTCTGAATCAAAGGAAAATATAGTCTTAAAGAATTGGTTTAGACCAAGTGAAATGAAATATGAAAGTATAAACAAAGCTAATTAAGAGTAATACTCTTAATAAAGAACTTAATATTTTAAAATATCTGACTTGATTTGAGATAGTACGTACCCCTTTGAGGGTAGTTTTTTAGTGGTAAAGTGGTATAATACTTAGAAATATTTTTTACTTTCTAGGTGTAGCTTATTCTTTTGCTGGGTCTGTATGAGTACATGGTTGTCTTCACAGTAATACTCCATTCTGCCATTCTCCTTCCTTGCTTTTCTCCTATCCCCGGACCTGTGAATAGTTTTCAAATCTGTAATTTGGCTAAGATGTTATAGATGTTTATGATCCTGCATCTTCATTCAGCAGTTCCCTGGTGTAAATTACTAGGCTTTAATGTTTTTCTGTGTTTTGAGATGATAATAAAAGTCACTGAAGGGGAAAGAGAAGTTTAAAGTAGAAACAAACTTCTGTAAAAGAAGTAGTAGTCCTTCATGGGAACTCGTCAAATGTCCAGTCTGTTTTCTCACTAAGCTTTGATACTTGTGTTTGATAAATGAGTTTTAAGTTTAAATTTTTCATCTCACGAAGAAAAACATAAAGCTTAGCTAGAAATAGTACAAGATTTTCCTCTAAAGATCAGGTTTTTTATTGAAAGGGTGTTTTAATTTTATTCCTCTGCTCTTTCTGGGTGGCTTTATGTTATCCTTATTTTAAATAATGTTTTAATTATTTTCAACATTGTACCATCTTATAGTTGCATTCCTTTTTTTTTTTACTCTTTGCTCTCCTTATCCTTTTCCCCTTCATTAAACCCATGTGCAAAAGAGGAAACAAATCATCTTTGAGGTACTGAACAGGTTTTTAGACATGAGAATATGAAACTTTTAGATGTTAATACAATAAAACTTCTGCCAAAACAGGCCTCTGAAGAACAGGGCAGGTCTTTAGTAGGAGCATCCAACTTCTAAAGAAGCAGCTAGGCTGTATCATAGTAAATTTATTAGAATGAGTATTCATTTTGTGGACAGTTTATATCTTATATACACTGTATAAAAGAATGAGTATTCGCTGTTTATTATCCCAGGGTAATAATGGCTGTTCAGAGACGGTTTCCAACTGACTGTTCAGACAGCTGTTGCACAGAATGGAAGACCAGAACTTCTGAGCCCTTTACACTCATGTATTGGTTATGGCAGTGAAGTTTGCTATTTATATAAATACTAACTGAAAATTTTACTGGATCTTGTAAGTACTTTGTAGGGAGGACAGATATTCCCTTTAATTAGTAATGACATTGAGTTAGGGTAACATTATCACAACCATTAGATAGATGAAAACTGAACTTGTTGAAAGCCGTATTTCAGCTTTCTTCCTGGTATCTGCTGAATTTGCTTGCCATCAGCCAAGGAAAATAAAAATGCATGGTTCTAACTTCTTAGAATTTCCCCTTAATTTGTTAAAGAAGCAGGCAAAATTGTCCGGTTTTGCTTTTTACCTTCCATAATTTGATGCAAAGATCATTAGATGGTGGCTAATCGTAGTTGGTAAGAGCCAGGAACTTATTAATGAACTGAATATAAGAATATTAAAATAAGGCAATAGAGCTTACCACAGTTTTATCAGGTAGCTTGTGATATCACCACATAATACCAGATAATGGCCAGTTCATACTGTTGGTTTTTATTTTGTTAATATTTACCAGATACAGCTCGGACTTCAACTTTGGTTTTGGCCAACCAAAAAAAAGTTGTTATGCTGGTAGAGTTATGCTCACATTGTGCTACATATTTTAAAATAACGTATTGTTTCTCTTAATGTCCTTTTTTTTTTTTCCCGTTTAGAGATATTCTAGAGTATCGTCTATGTTTTCTTGTTTGGCTTCTTATTTTATGCATACTTGGTTTTGCTTCGTTGCAATGTTAGTTTGTAATGCCACTTCAGTCCATGTAGAACAGCAAGTCAGAACTGCACTATTGTAAGCTGTCTCTAACTTGTATAAATATTAGTTTATATGCATGTTTTGTTTAACATTTGGTTAATGTTAGCCATTACAGTCTAGATGAGTGTAATCTAGGTGATTTTAGGTAGAAGAGCAATGCAGGCATTTAATGGCTGCACGTGGTGGTTGTTGCTGAATGTTTTCTTTAGGTGTATCAATACATAGCTTTTGTTATGATTTCCCGTCAGATTTATAAGAGCAGGCAGATGATGGTAGAAAGAATCTGGATCTTTGCTGAAACTGTTTTAGTGTATGCATGGAGATGGGTTTCAGTACATTACATCTTGTGTACTGGTATTTTAGTCTGGCATTGGTACAGAGCAGTAAGAACTGTATTTCTCTAGCAGCAAGTTATTCTGAAAGAATAGCTGGGTTGTTAAAAAGCTTTTTAAAATGTGTTGAGTGTTACTTATGAGTTTAATAGCATTTAAATTGTAATTGTAAAGGAAATGATTGGTACCGTAATTTGTGGTGTTCTTCCAACTACAAAAATCTGAGATCTAGCAGCTTGTCAAAATGACAGTTGCTGTAATGAAATAATACTTTTCATTCAAGTTTCATTGTGAAACCAAAGCACTGAAACAGTGGAGGATGTACCAGGTTGAGTCGGTAACTGACAAGTGTTCAATGGTAACTCTTAGCTACTGTGGATGTGTAACTATTAGTGTGGCTCCATTTTGTTTGAGCTTTGAATTTAAAACACCAAGATGTGTTTAGCCAGTGACACTTTTCACCTTTGACTGACTGTGACCTTAAAAGCTGGAGGGGTGTTTTTAGTTATGAAAATCCAAGGATAATAATTTTTGGCTTCCAAAATTCAGATTATGAGAGCACGTGTCCTTCAAAAGCAGAACATACTGGTCACAACAGTGATTGGGGTCCAAAATTCAAATAAGGCTTGGGTTTTGGTTTTGTTTTTTTGGTTTTGTTTTGGGGTTTTTTTACACAAACTAACAAAGCACCCAACAACCAAAGAGGCACCTAACATTGCTTCATATCTCTGACTTAAAGTTGTCTAACTACTGTAATTGTGCTTGTGCATGTGCCCAGAACTGATGTCTCTGAACAAGTAGGTTTAAGTAGGGCAAGCAGGTCCTGTCTCTTAATCCAGGAAGATTCAGAAAAGGCTCTGTTATGTCCTAAATGGTTTGATTCAGTTAGCGTGCTCTGACCTTTAGGATGAGTAGGACTGGTTATTCCTCTGGTGGTTGCGTTTTAAGGAGAGAAGAGTGAGTGCTGGTCATTTCCAGGCATTAGTTGCCAGTCATCAGGAAAGGATTCTGGACCTGCAGCCTGAATGGGGCAGTGAAACTCAGTTTTCACATATGCTTGTTTGCCATTTTCTATTGCCTTCCCCTAAGTGAGTCCCAACAGTGCAGGTTTTTTAATCAATCATCTGAGGTATTTCTTTCCTCTCATGTAGGGAATCTAGGCACTTAACTCTAATTAGCATCCAGTATGTCTTTTCTTCCCAACAGAACTAGTAGGTTCAGTGGATACCTTTGAAAGAACATCAGCAGCCATTCTTGCTCTTAGGAGACTTCTGCATTTTACTGTTTTCCTTTTGAATAAAAAGCCTAAACTTGAATCCATTTTTCATATGCAAAATAACAAACTGAACACTGTGGTTTGTGTAACTTGTGCTGTAAAGAGACATTTGTTTAAACTTAATCAGCAGCATCATGCAAGAGCATCCCACATTCTGACATGGTCTAGTCTGTCTCCATTTCTAGATCTGTAAAATGTGTTGACTTCTTCTGGTTCTGTCAGTGCTCCTAGATTTGTCAGGCTGGTCAGCAAATGCCAAGTACTGTAATAAATGTAGTTTTCTGTATGTGTTTTAGGCACCTTCTTTACAAGAATTTATAAAGTGCTTCTGTAACTATTTCACACTACACAATTAGCAGAATCTGGTAAAGATTTGGAATTGGCTTTTGACTGGAATATGAAGATTTCAGTCTCTTGATGCTATTAAATATTTTCAGTTTTAAGCAATGTGTATGGAGATGACAGCTTTGTGGAACTGTCTGCACTGCAATTTTACAAGAAAGTCAGTCAACTATTGTAGGCAAAATCAGACTTTGCATTTCACATAAAATGTGGGGGAGAGAGGAACTAAGCCTACAGAGAGCCTGCCTCTAATAACAATCCCTCTCATCTCTGCAAACTTGCTGTAACTTATTAAACTCCACTTCGTAATGTATCTCGTGTATATACATAGGTATCTGTGCCTGAAGGTTTGTATAGTTCCAAGTTACGCATACTGGGGAACTTTTTCATTTCCACTAAGTTGTTGCAAATTTTCATTGTTCCGTTTTACTAGGCAGCCTGCTGTCATTATACTTGGTGTCATTCATCAAGTATGAGCTTCCAAAATCTGTGATGATGATGTCGTTGTTTTAGATAATCTGTATACAATATTTTAATATGTATTTTTACCTTCTAGGCTTTTTTTAAGGAGAAATAGGTTTTTTTCCAACTTATCTTTAAAATAGGTGAAGTAAGTATCTTTCTATGAACAAATGTTTTTGTTACTGTCTTTGAGATTCATTGTTGTGCAAATTGTCTTGAATATAAAATTACTATAAATCACAGTTTGTAGAAACTGATGAATTGGCTCATTAGCACAGTATTTCCATAATTTGCTATACAGAGGAGATTTCCCTTCTCAGTATTTTAGGCAAAGGTGAAATGAGATAATGAGCTTTTACTGACAAATTCTGGGATTTGAAATGTCTTGGTTTTACTTCACATGTTTAGGTGTATATCTGTAGGGATGGACATAAGAAAGCCAAAAGAGTGAGTTAAGAACAGTCTTACAACAGTGTGTTGTACATAAGGATTCTGTCCTTAGATAACAGTATTACTGAGAACTTTAATTTATGTAACTGGTTAGATTAATTCTGCTTTTGTGCAAGATGGAAATCTTAAATACACTTTTTGTTCAAAACAGACACATTACCATACAAGAATCAGGAACGTCAAATGATACTGAAAATTCCTGTGATTGGGTGCTAAAAGGTAAGAGTCTTTGGAGATTTTTGAATGCGTAATCAAGAGAAGAAAGTAACCACCGAGATGTTCAGTGGCAAAACCTAGGCTTTCCACTTTCCACATAAAATGAGAATGTGTCAGTTCACTAATATCTTTCTATTGTAACAGTGATTTGTTTCCTAATGCATATAAAATGGATGTCTTTTGAAATGGTACGAACCTGACCCTTACAAGGAATATCTACTTCTGTGTAGTACTTGTCTGTTGGCAGTACTGGGGTTTTTTGTTTTGCTTTGGTTGTGGGTTTTTTTGACATCTCTCTGATATTTTAGGGAAGGGGTTCTGTTAGTTGATGAGATGATAGTAGGACACTGAGTACCGTGCTACTGCTTTGGAGTCTGACTCATAATCTCATTTGGTTGTTCAAGAGAACAACCAAGTTGTTCATCAGCAGACAGTTTTATAATACGTGTTTTCCCAGGTTGTCCTTTTGGTTTTTGCAGATGCTATGCCCATTCCTCTGACAAACCTTTTTTTTTTTTTTTTTAAGGATGCTTAACTTTTTTTTAGAGAAGGATACTTCTGACTTAATGGTTTTTTCTTCCTATTTTAAGCAGAACAGTCCAACTAGGCAGCATCTGAAAGTGATTTGTTTTGTTTTCTACAGCTTGCGTACAGACCTACTATGCAAGGTATATCTGTTGTGGAAGTTTCTCTTAGATAGGTTGGAGGAACAGGATTTTGACTTTGAACAGAAGCACGTTACTGACACACTGGAGAAGGCACAGAGTGCTGAGACTGGTTTTGAAGGTTCTCGGTGTTTCCCTTTCTGGTGTCAGTAATCTGTCACTCTGCCATTATGTGTTGAATTTGCTGCAGGCTTGAAAAGTGTCTGTGACAGTACCTCTTATGCTGTTTTTTCATATTAATGTGTTATGTTCATGTAGAAAGAGTGAGTGGTTTGGGCAGATGTAGCCTCGTGGAGAAAAAGGTGTGAATAGTGACTGTTTGGGGAGAGAAAGTTTCAGGCTTCAGTGATTAGAAGGCAAAAGGTAATGAGGGTTTAAGAGTTCAGACACCAAGAAATAGGCACAAGTTCCCTGAGGAGGAGTAGGGAGGAGGTACACAGTTAGGCCTCTGGTGATACAAAGAGCCAGAGGGGCCTGTGCGATGGCATCTGCAGTACTGAGGTGATTGAAACCAAACCTGGGGGCAAGTCCTGTACTATTTAGTAATTTCTGCATTTTTGTAGACTGTTTGTTGTTTTACTTCATGTTCTAACAAAGTTTGAGGCTAAAAGTCTTTGGGTCTTTTTGTGGTGCTTAAAATAAAGAAAAAGGTTTAAGTAGGTCCTTCTTCCTAGATCTGAGAAACTGAGGATTGCATCACGCTCTTAGATTAATATGCACAATGGTAACTTATGTTTGATGTATGACTTTTTAAAAAGACAGAACAAAAGAAAGGTGTCGTCTGGTTTTGGTAATTACTGACAATTTCCGTATTTCTTTAGAAATACATATTACTGCTTTGGTGTCTTGTCTTGTGTAGTGAGGTCACAGTGGCTTGTCTCAGTGGCTTCACAGTCTAAGAAAGGCAACAAATACTACTGTTAAGGTATTCTGGATGACATCAATCCGCTTCATCTTTCAAGTGGAAATCTATGTTGTATTCAAGCAGATGTGTCTTGTACTGATGATCATATAGAGATCAGTGACTGTAAGATAAAAGCCTTTCCAATAATGATATGATATCTGGACAATGCAGTGCAGTTGAAATTCATTCATGTGATCCAATGAAATAGTGAATTTCTCTTCTATGCAGAGCTTTGCTATTGTGCCTGAGCAGCTGCTTCAGAAAGCTGCAGTCAGGTGTTCTGTTCATTTCCTGTGGCATCTGCAAAAGGTGCTGAAATTTCCTGACACTGAATTCTCATTGAGTTTACTGTATTACGGGAATTCAGAGTTTCTCAGAGCTATCTATATTTAGTTCAGGATTGCATCATGTCATTACGATTAACTTAGCCCCTTCTCCAGCGAAGACTAAGTCTCCATTTGCTTAGCAAATTACCATACATAACTTTGGCTGTGTTTTAATGATGAAGCTTAACTGAATTTATTTCTAAAATACTGAATTCAATATTATATAAATAAACCTGTTGTCCTGTTCTACAGGGACTATTACAGAACATACATCTTGGATAGAATTTTAATTGCAGATTCAGTTTAATCTTTATTTGAAATGGTTCATGCTTTAAAGGTGAAAAAATTTTACATATAAATTTCACATTTAGAAAGTCCTAGGAGTTCTTAAATGTCATTAATATTAAGGCTTTTAATATTTAGGAAATAAAAGTTTTGTTGTCTCGTAGCATGGGAAACACATAAAGTAATGTGTTTATACATTTTCAGCTAAAGATATTAAAACCTACAACTCCTCCAGAGGAAGCAGTCCTTTGGGAGGTGTTACCAAGGCCTTTCTTGAAGATGGGCAACTGAGAGAACTAGATAAGCTTTTAAAGAGTTTTGACGTGGATGAAAAGGTACTGAGAAATCATGCTTTCTGTCACTAAATAGTTTAAGAAATTACAGTCCATGTAATTGGATAATTTTAATTACTAGTACTGTTTTATCAACAACATTTTTAATTTCCTGTAATAAAAGGAATATTTGCATTTCACAGATTATTGTGCTATTGACAATGTAAGTTTTGCTTGACAGAACTTGTTCTTTTTACCTTGTCACTAATAATTCATCTTCAAATTTGAAATGAAACAAGGTACTGTTATATCAGTTGTTACAGTAGTTCTGTATTACCAGTTGTATGAAAATTACTGTTCCAGTGAACACCTAAGACTACTGCTGTGCATATGTGACATTTTTACATAACATACCTAGTTTTAAAAGCTGGTGTTAAATGCTTCTCATCACACAGTCTCAGAAGGATGGGGTGGTGTTGGAAAGCTAGGGAGTTGCACAGCCATCGTACATCCGAGGAGGATCCTTCTGTGGCTCATTACTTGGGCAGACAGGCCATTACATTAACATACTGACTTCCTGGCAGTTCAGAGGGAACGTTAAGCCATTTTCATGCTCACTGACTTTATCTGACCTTTCTACCCTTTCTGTCCTCCTTCCTCTAGATAGTAAGTCTAGGTCTTTTAAGACTTGCTGAAGTTTTATACTATTTACTTCTTTGATAATGGATTGGAATTTACATCTCTCTGCCACTCAGACATAGCTGCTGATAGCATTTACTGTTTTCCACTACTGCAAGAGTGGATAATGGTTTTAACTGGATAAGTTAAACTGTAAAATTCACATGGCTAAAAACTGGTAAGTAACTGGTAAGGTAATCAGACAGTAGGGAATCAGTTTCCCTGGCAGAATCATTATTTAAAAACAGAATAGAAACATTTCCTTCAGCAGATGGAATTGGGGCTGCTAACATGTGATTCACAAAGTGAAGAGCACCATTTTGTTCCCTGACCTCTTAGAGAGGATAAAAGGGTCTGTCACATAGTATAGGTTACTGGAGGTGGTGTACTTGTTGCAATATTGCCAGGTCAGTCCCAGTTGGACTACTTCATTGTGTTGTGGCTTTATAAAATCAGTGTCCTAATGTTTGCTTTTCTGTGCTGTGTTGGACAACAGTAAAGGTGTACAACTAATTTCACCCAAACCTCAAGCTTGACCAAACTTAAGCCACAAAATACATGCTACAGCCCTAAACCTATTCCTGTATGCGGATGGAAAACTAGCTGTGCAGACCTGGGGAGGGAGTGGAATGGCAGAACACTTGTTGCAAGTATTTTATCGTTTAGGGTGATTGGGGGGTTTTGGTTTTTGGATGGCTTTTCCAACTACTAGTGCCGTGAGAAGGACAAAAACTAACCATGGAGAAAACCCTAAAAATATTTGGGGAACTGGTAAAATGAAGTTTGGAAATCTGAGGAGAGCATATCCATCTCTAATTCTTTGGCTATCGTAAATTTGTGATATAATGGGAAATTCAAGTTACTTCATGAATAGTGGGCAAAACCAAGCCGGGATTCTGTGACTTTATTCAGTATCAGTCCTTTCAAATTCTCACCCCCAAATATGTTAGGTGCTGTCTTTTTTCTCCATATCTTTGGGGATTTTTTACCTATACACCATGGTGTACAGCTGAGCAAAAGCCTTAGATTTCTCTTCAGTACAGCTTTAAATTTTCATTAAACTTGATAGAATGTCTTTTGTGGGTTTCTACACATCTGTCAGGCACAGTTAAAATTGGGCAGTGGGCCTAAAAATTGCTGGGATTATCAGTGGGAGCAAAGAGAGGCGAAGACAATCATGTCACCTTTTTTCCAGTTAAAAATCCGTATTTTAAAGATCACAGAGTATAATGGCAGTGTGTCCATTTAAAAAGATGGTGTAAGAGTAACCCTACAGTCCAAATTACAGTTTTTACAGTCAAGACTGTATTATCACACCTTCCAACAATCACTAACAGTTTTAAGTCTGTAGTGTAAAGTGTAACAGGCTTAGTAGTGCTTTGCTGTATCTGAAAGTACATTTTAAATATCTTCACAGTTCAGGTTTGCAGATGGAGTGCCTGATGTTAAACAAGAAAAAAAGGGTGACGCTGCAAAAAGGTATGTATACTGTGTCCTTCATGTAACCTGTGATGTTCCCCAGTTACTGTACAAATGAAATGTGATGTTTTTACTGAAACACCATCACCATTTTAATTCAGTTTTTCTATGTTACTGTGACTATGTGATGAAGAAAATAAATATGTGAAATAATATAATTTCACTGTGCAAAGTACAAGACAAGTGTCATCATATCCTGACGGGACAATAGAGGTTATTTTGTCCTCTGGGTGCTGACGAAATATATCCACTTTATGCCAGTGTCTCACCTTGGCATCTCAATGTGAGTATAGCATAAGATAAATTTCCAGCCACAATAGCATTTACCAGAACTTTAAAAAAAACAAAAAAACAGTGAAACTTACAGCTTTCTTTTCTGCCTCTTTGGACTTTCTAAACTGATGAAAGAATTGAAAGATCTCATTCAAATTCAGGCTGACAGATATTTGAACAGCAGTAGAAGGCGGCGCTTAAAAACATGGCATGTGGAGTTAGGCACATGCTCTACTGTTCTGCTAGCTTCAGGCTGTGCTTACAGTGTTTATTGTACATATGACTTAAAGTGTCAGACTTAGAAACTTTCATTCGACATCAGCCCAAAAATGAAGCAGAATAAGACTTTTTAGAAAAAGTATACTTAACTGATGGAATACTTAAGTAATTAGAAGAAAAATAACAGATATTTCAGAGTCATTTTCACAATAATCAAGAAACCTGAGCTGGCATAGCGGAGGGTATTGCTTTTTTCCAGTACCAGTCGCATTTCTGTGACAGACTTGAAGTGTACCAGAAGTCTGTTAAATGGAGAATATTGCATCTTTTCATTAATCCACTAGAGAGCTCCAAGCTCCTCCTCCTGGTAAAATAACCATTTAAATTTACCTTAGTAGCATAAGTAGGTTTTTACGCTATAGAATAAGTAGATTATGCTGGATAAAATACCTTTGCACAAGTGATACTGCATTACTTCACTTCCTTAGTTGAAATGCAGCACTCTCTGCGGTTAGAGAAGAGGCATTTACTCCTTCATTTGGAGTCAAAACTATTTTCTCTAGTTTTACTCAAAAATGTTACCATTGCAAAGTTTCATCTAGAAGAAAACATGCTCTTACTTGGCAAACTCTGCTTCTAGGGATGCTGTTACTTAAAAAAAGAAATTGATTGTAGAGCTATATAGTTTACAGTTCCTGGCAAAATTGTGTGTAGTTTCCCATCTAGGTTAAAAAGAGAGCTGAGATTGTTACCCTGAAGGGAAGCTGCTGTGAAAATCCTGTTGTGTCAGATCCGAGGCTGACACCGCCAAGAAGCATAAAAAATATTTTACATGGCAACTTGAAAATTCTGAGTAACTAGATCTGCAGATTTTTTTCCTCTGAGACCAGTACAATACATTGCCTAGAGAAGATATTAATATTGAAGAATTTGGGTTTATAGATAGAATTTATTCTTCTCTGCCATAGCATTTTTATTTCAAACTGTGTTAAAAACAGCCTGCACTTTAGGAAAGATTTGAATTGTCCTGGGTATGAGAAGTATTAAATAGCTAGAATGTGCCCCTCATAGGGGATAGCAGGCCTATTTCTGTCTCCAAACAGCAAGCAGGCTGAAATGTCCTTTGTACTGAACCTAGATTCTTAATTGAAGGGGGGAGGGGAGGAAGATCTCATGAAAGGGGATTGTTTTCTTCTGTGGCTTTATTTACAAATAAGAAAGAGATCACTAAGTGTTTTGCTAGCAATATTTGTAGCTTGTTTTGGAAAACATCACATTTTAGTAGTTTAATTATCTGGCATGTACACATTTGGCAATAGTTAAAGGCAGAACAGTCTTTAATTGGAGTTCCCTTTGAAATCACCTAAATCTTCTGCCGAGTAGAGTCAGTTATTAGGAAAGAACAGTTGGCTCTTCAAGTGTAATTTCAAAAGCTTTGTGGATTACTTCTTTGGCAGATATTACATAACAGACTACTGAAAAGTAGATGCTTCTTAAAGGGTGACAGAAATCATCTCAGTCTTCCTGTCAGCATAGTGGGGAAAAAAAAAATAGAAGTGGTTCACGGGTGCCTTTTTTACTTATTTGTTGAATTTCATATAATTACACTTTAGGACAGAATAATCTCAGCTAAGATCATAATCAGATTGGACCAGGCAATGAGAGTAATGAAAATAAAGTTGTTGGGACTGCTAGCTATTTAAATTTACAGCAAGTTTTTAATTGTTGTGTGAATTGTTGAAGAAATTCTCATCTTCTATGCACTTAATCCCCCTTTGTAGGCATTTTGTATATGGGAGAAGCACCTGTTTAATTTGGTTAAACAAACTTTTGTTTCTTTAAGACTCAACAGTGACTGTAAATGCAAAGATCTTGTGAGCTGTGAATTGCTATCAGGATTGCCATTGCATCCCCCGAAAGTAAATGTCCTCAGTGAAGCTACAGTGATGAAACCCCAGAAAAATGGTATCGTATGCTGTATTGGTGAACCCTCCAGAATTTATTTTTACATGTGTTTGTGTTTTATTTACATATAAAATCTTAAGGAATTTGTTCAATTCCTAAAGGCATTGGCTGGAATTTGTTTTAGCTTGCATATATAGAAGCAAAAATGCAAGCTCTCATATGATAGGTTAGTAGGGTTTTTTGGGTTGGGTTAGGTTTTTTAGCAGAATCCTATTTGGTAGGGTCAAATAGCAATCATTCTATCTTGGTATTTATGGTTCTCAGATACTTCAGTAGTACAGCAATGCCTGCATTCTTAGTATTTTGACACAGTGTGTTTGAGCCATGTTATTGGCAAATAACTTGTTTTTCTTTATTTGTGGTCAGAGAACAGGACTGCAGATTTTCTTGGTTGGTTTTTATCTGTCAGCAAAACTTGGCTAAGGGATTTGCCCACCTTGTCAAAGGTCCAAACTTTGTTGTTTATGCCAATTCAAATGTTTCTGAGGCATTCACTAGACTGGATCAAGGAGATGATCTAGATTTGATAAGGAGCATGTCATTTTGACTTGGTATATTTTGCACCTGGGACAGGTACCTCTTAAGTGTCTCTGCTACCAGAGAAATTATAATCATAGAATCATAGAATGCTTTGAGTTGGAAGGCACCTTTAGAGGTCATCTAGCCCAACGCCTCTGCAGTGAGCAGGGACAGCTTTAACTAGATCAGGCTGCTCAGAGCCCCATCCAACCTGACCTTTAATGTTGCCAGGGATGGGGTCTCCACTCCCTCTCTGGGCAACCTGTTCCAGTGCTTGACCACCCTCATTGTAAACAATTTCTTTCTTATATCCAGTCTAAATCTATTCTTCTTTAGTTTAAATCCGTTATTCCTTGTTCTGTCACAACAGGCCTTGCTAAAAAGATTCTCCCCATCCTTCCTGTAGGCCCCCTTTAAGTACTGGAAGGCCGCAATAAGGTTTCCTTGCAGCCTTCTCTTCTCCAGGCTGAACAACCCCAATAATGTAATGGAACCATAGTCAAAGTTTCCTTCTCTTTTTCTCTGCACATAACAGCTCTGACTTTCAGCCTTAAATGAATGCATAGTTTTATTTGGCATACAAAATAGAGAAAAACAGGAATTGATTACTTATGGATAGATACTGCGTTCTGTTTCTTTGCAACAGCTGTTTTGGGAATTAATGTTTTTAGAATTATTGGTTAATGTGGATGTTTATAAACATGGATTTCCTGAATTGAGATCAGTGGCAGAGGTTCTTGCTTAGTTTCAAATTATACTGCTGGTCTGAGCTTGTAGAACGATTTTATCATCATGTCATTTAACAATATTTGCAGGAAGTGCAAGAAACATAGATTGTATAAAAAGCAACTGTGAAATACATCTATAGGCTACGGTACTTTGAAATTGCACATGTCTTTGTCCTTAAAAGTGTGTACACCTTCTGAAGAGTTCTTCTAAATCTTCTTTCTTAAAATCATTTGAAATGGTTGGCAAAGCTAGAGTTTCTGTGCTAGGAGAGGACAAAATAGCCTTTTTTTCCCCAGAACTGTGTAGGCAGGATTGGCTATTTTGCTTTAGTGCCTGCTCCCCTATGAATTTGACATACAGTCAGCAAGGAGAGTACAAACTGTTCAAAGGACCTGGTCAGAAACTCTTTGTTGTGGGGATGGCAAGAATCTGGAGGAAGGACTTCTGAGCTCAGGTTCCCGGTGGCATTTTTCTGCAGCTAGTGGTTGACCATTTTCTCAGCCTTTTTCCTGTCACTAAATTTACCCAGTACTGAACTTACCAAATTGCCCACCATCACTGGACAAAATTACGCAACTGTGACAGTATGTAACATTTAGATATTTAATTGTTCTACATTCTGTTTCTCCTTCCTATCCTGTGATAGTCCTCTCTGTTTAGAAAGACTAAGAACCATGTACCTAGTGCAAGTCCCTAGTAGAACATGCATCATTATTGGATGCTCTTTAGTAACTATAGTTTGTCAGAAAGAGCTAAGCACTCTGCCTCTTGAATACCCAGTTCTTTCAAGGTGCCTGATGGGAACCCTAGAAAGCAAGGCATTCAAACGGTCTTATGTCTCTTCAGATATGGAATTGAAAATTTCAACTTTTATCTTCCGTTAACTTTATTCATTTTTCAGAGAAAGAAGTCTGTTACCAATAATAATTAAAGTTCTAAAACCAAGTTTCATGGTTAAGAAACCAGTAACTTACATTGGACTTAAGCTTGATATTGCACTGCTTAAAACATGGAGTATGAAAGGTTTTATTTCAGTTCTGGAAAAACAGTTTAAATTTATGGCTAGCGATGTGGAAATGCAAAGATTACAGATAAAGTGGGGGTTTTTTTCCTTTTGAAATTAAAACCTCTGGATATTTTTATTCCATGTCTTTTCTCATCTCTGTAAGTTAGATTAGAAACCTTGGATAAAGTAGTGAAGTTTTTAATTTAAATGTGGTTACTCTTGAAGTTTGTGTAAGTCTCAGTTTTAGGATAGTTAAGAAAACTGTAGCTTAAATTACTGGCTTTAGGTTGTATTAATCAGATTTTCATTAATCATTGCTATAACTTGAACTATAAATATGAAGGAAAATAAGATAAATGAGAGTGGTTTCAGTATGATTGGTTTTATTACATGATCCATTTATTGCCCACATTCTAATTTTTAGATTACAGATTTTCAGGAAAAAGTCCTTTACTGCCATTGCAAAATTATGGAGATTTTGAGCCATGGAAGATGGAAAAAAATGCAACTGTAAGTTGTTAAAGCCTTAATGATTTCCGATCCTTTGGCACTAATTTTGTTTGGATATTCAGACAATTCTCCATATATCTAGTCAGAAATTATGAATCTGTGTATGTTTATGTTTCTGCTCCTCTAAAGATGTTATCACTGAGTAAATACAATTTCTGAGAACAAAGTCAATGATGAGGGGACAGCTATTCACAGTGGAGCTTTGTTGATTTCTATTTCCAACTTAAGCAAAATCAAATAATGCTTTTTGCTTTATTGTTTTTGTGGACCTGCAAATCAGACAAGGTTTCACATGTTTAAGACAGACTGCATTATCCATTATGCTGGGCGCTGAAAAAGGGTAAAGGAAATTGATGCCCCAGAATTCTCAGACTGTTATCCAGAGCCATGCAGGAGTTTGTCACCTTTCTTCCTCCTCTCTACTCATTGTCCATCTCATTTAGCAGTTCTTGCATTCTTTCTGTCTGTGGTCTTCAAGACAGATTTTTGTTGTGTTAGACACTAGCATGACATGACGAGGGATTGATCTTGGTCTGGTTTGAAATGCTGCAAATACAGAATAGAGATGAAGGTTGTTTCAAAGGTTTAATTGTAGATCACATATTTTTTGCTTTTGTTCATAATTTGTAGGTATTTTGAAATTCTCAAAAAATGAGCACGTTTGCTTTCAAAAAATATTATCTGTCGGGTTTTTTCTGTTTGTTTTAATTTTGATTTATTTTAGGCTTCTCATTCAGTCCAGCGGATCCTCGAGATGATTGAATTGCCCCGTAAATATTGCAGATTTTATTTCATGACTTTGCGTGGGTGTGAAAGAGCAAAATGTTGGTTTTGGCATGTTCCTGAGCAAGGGGATGAAAAGGTAAAGAGATTTATTGAAGCAAGGAACGGATTGTAAGTGTGAACACTTTTCAAATGCAAAACATCTCCTTTGTTCATTTATATATGGAAAGGGAGTAAATTTCAGAGATTGATGGATCAAAGAAATGTTCAGAAATTCTTCCTCTCAAGGGTTTTAAAAAAATGGTAGAATTTTGAACTAGTAGACTTTTTAAGAGAACAGACATCAGCAAAAGAGCAAGAATTAGGCTGTATGAATATATAGTAGTAGAATGGGGAGATTCTGAGATATTCCTATCCCAAGCATTGGAGACCTGTAAGCAAACCCAGATTTTGTATGTATTCTTAAAGTCAAAAGCCATCTATAGTGTATTACTTTCTGCCAGTTCTGTGCAACAGGGGCATGTTTGTTTAAAGATGCTGTAATCTCCTTAAATGGAGCAACAATTCTCATAATATTTGCAAGCAAAAATGCTTTTCCAGTGGTGGGCAAAGTAGATGTGTTTTCAGACCATTTAACAAAGAAATTATGAGTCTGTAATACTTCCAAGCACTGTGCAAGGCAAGCTAATTCTGCTGTCATGTAATAATTTTGGAATTGGCTGTATGAAACCAAGACTTAGGTGGTTCTACAAGTCACGTGGAAGCAAACAAAACCATTAAAACAACTAAACAAAGACAAATGCCTAAACTTGTCCTCATCAGGTCTTACAAGATTTATTTCTCATCTACCACCTTCTTGGTATGAGTACAATTTTATCATCAGTGTCAGTAAGTAAGAAATTACAGAATCAAAATGTAGAGAATACCTTGTAATGAACCTATTAGACATAAATGCTAAAAAAAAAAAGGTAGCATCTAAAGGAGCTTATTCATTTCCTTGATATCTTAAATATACTGTGTCAGAGTTTTTAAAATACATCAGTGTAATTTGGTTTTATTTTTCTTAATGTTTTCTCTTTTCATTTTTATGTCTCAAAAAAGAGCTTTTTTCTTTTTTTCCCTAATGCTTTTTAACCCCTTTGAAAATTTATATGACAGCTTAAAAATACTGAGATCATTGAGAGTAATTCTGTATCGGATGTTTTCCCTTTTCCTCAATTGTGAAGTATCTTTGGCAGGCTCTAGTGAATGTCAGTAATTTTCAGCTAGTTTGTACGAATTATCATGGTTTGTAGTGCTTCATTATATACAGACACATTAAACATTAAATTATTTTCCTAAAACTATTAAAAATCCATTCCATTTGATTTTACTTGTGGTGCAGCACTCCAGTACACTTACTGTTCTGCACACCAAACCTAGCCTAACTTTCTTGGTAGTCTGGAAGTATACTTTGGGGTTTGTGTGTTTGTGTATTTATTTTTTTTAGAACTGTGCATTTAGAAATGATAATAGGCCAAGCACCTCATGGTGGCACCAAAGTACATAGATGGAAGACAGGTAACAAAGTCATCTAGTCAAATGCAAGGAAAGTAAATCTCTTTAGGATCCTTTATGCAGACTGGTAGTCCACTTGCTTAGCACTGTGTTTTCAGTGATGATTGTTACCAGAATTTTTGAAGATAAATACCTTTCCCCATAATAGATATTCCTTCCTTTTCATTAAGTAACTGGTTGATGCTTTAAGGCACAATGTACTAGGATTTAACACTCTTCACGGTTATGGTTGATCACACAACGCAGCAGTGATTTAATTAATAAAAACATATGTTTTGAAAATTAGCATACTCTTGAGCTCAGCAAGTTCTACAAGTTACCAGGTTTTATGTTTTTTTAAAAGATGCCTTTAATTTCAAACAGTGAAATCTCTTGTATTAAGCAAAGTAAACAAAACTATTTAAGACTGTTTTAAATAGTCCCCAAAGTATTTAAAGGGTGGGATCTTAACAATGTATCA